TAAATGGACACTGTACACACAATCACACTCCCCAAACATACTCTATACCCCAGGCCCAGGCACCACTACCCCCTGAGGGGTGATGGTACCCAGACCCAGGAGATGTTACCCTTTTCCCTGGGGTGGAGACAAGCAGACCGCCCACGGTCCCGCAGCAGCAGGGAGGCCCCGCATCCAGACCCCGATCAGATGGCCAACTCTTTCTCCCAGCCCCAATGGTAAAGAGAGAACGGAGGTGTGAAGAACCCATGCTTCCCTTTTTTTTTTTGCCTGTCCCGTTTGGATCTTTAGCCATCAGAATTGTTGTCTGAAGGCAAAGAGATGCCAAACGGATTTACTTTACCAATTGGATCATCATGGCCTTGCCAGATTGGTCCATTTGATTGACCTTTATTATAATTATGTATTAATTTTATTTTATTTTCGGTTGTTACAGATGGGACAGACATGACTGGGGGATAGGACAGGGAGAAAGAATGAAAGAAATAGAGGGAGAGAGAGAAAAATAGGGGGGAGAAGAGAGGCACAAGCGCCAGGCCCCGCCAATCGGCCACCAGGAGTGAGCCAGTACATACATGAGCGCCCAGCCCCAGACACCAAGAACCACCAACACACCAACGTCTGAGGGCATCAGCCACCGGCAGGGAGTGTGGTGAGGGGAGATAGGCCTCCATACCTCGGAGAGCCTGAGATGTTCCCAGAGAGGTGGAGTCTAAGACCCAACCTGACATATAGACACAGACGAACAGGCACACACAAACACAAACGTGCATTCCCACCCCCATATACACAAATGAATACTCGGCACTCACCCGACGTGGAGACAGACACAAATAGACACTGTACACACATTCACACTCCCCAAAAATACTCTATATCCCAGGTCCGGGTACCCCTGCCTCTAGAGGGGCAAACCGTACCCAGACCCAGCAGATCTAACCCTTCTCTCTGGGATGGAGGAAAGTAGGCCGCCTTCTTATCTGCAATAGTAGGGAGGCCCCGCATCCCAGACCCCAATCCGACGGTTAACAGAACGGGAGTGAGTGAAGACCCCAAACCTCCCTCCGCCCGCTCATATGTAGTGATGCTGCATGCTGTTCTAAAGTGCATTTAAAACATGGGAGGGCATGGTGCTTCCTGCCAGAGACCAGCCGGTGTCTGCTTGGCCCCTCCCGAGAACCCTCAACATGCAATTAAAATTGAGAGGTGGGCACCAGCGTCAGAGGTGAGGTTGAATACACAGACCGTCCTCTGGACGCTGTATAGCGTGCTCACCCCCAAGGCCCTATATGTTTGTGTTATGAGATGTGTTATAAGCCACAGGTATAGGGGCCTATCTCCCCTCACCACACTCCTTGCCAGTAGCTGATGTCCCCAGGCCTGGGTGTTTCTTGGTGTCCGTGGTTGGGCGCTCAGGTATGTACCGGCTCACTCCCGGTGGCTGCTTGGTGGGGCCTGGCGCCCGTGGCTCAGTCGGACCCCGTTTGGGGACTGGGGGGCCCTCGGGCCTCTGGATGTCTGGGGCCTGGATCTCCTCCATACCTGCTTCATGCCCTGTGGGACGGGGCTGTGGTTCCCCACACCCTCTAGCACAGGGGTTTCGAACTCCAGGCCTCGAGGGCTGGTGTAAAATGGTAAATGGCCTGTATTTGTATAGCGCTTTAC